GGCCTCCAGCCTAGTAGCAATGGCCTTTAACCAAAGAGCGATGGCCTCCAACATAGTAGCAATGGCCTCCAACCTAACAGCGATGGCCTCCAACCAAAGTGCGATGGCTTCAAAACTAGTAGCGATGGCCTGCAACCTGAGAGCGATGGCCTCCAACCTAAGACCGATGGCCTTCAACCTAAGAGCGATGGGCTCCAACCTAAGAGCGATGGCCTCCAACTTAACAGCGATGGCCTTCAGCCCAACAGCGATGGCTTCCAACCTAAGAGCGAAGGTCTCCAACCCAAGAGCAATGGCCTCCAAACCTAGTGGCGATGGCCTGCAACGTGAGAGCGATGGCCTCACACCTAAGACCGATGGCCTCCAACCTAAGAGCCATGGGCTCCAAACTAAGAGAGATGGCCTCCAACCTAAGAGCGATGGCCTCCAACCTAAGAGCGATCGCCTCCAACCTAGTAGTGATGGCCTCCCACCTAAGAGCGATGGCTTACAATCCAAGAGCGATGGCCTCCAACCACCTAAGAGCGATGGCCTCGAAACCTAAGAGCGATGGCCTCCAACCTAGTAGCGTTGGGCTCTAACCTAAGAGCGATGGCCTCCAACCTAAGAGCGATGGCCTCCAACCTAGTAGCGTTGGGCTCTAACCTAAGAGCGTTGGGCTCTAACCTAAGAGCGATGGCCTCCAACCTAAGATCGATGGCCTCCAACCTAGTAGCGTTGGGCTTCAACCTAGTTGGCCTCCATATAGGGAGGGGTTCTTACCGCTGTGTGTCCCGCTGCGTGTCTTGTTGCATTCTCCTTCCCTGCAGGAGGTGATTCCCATGGCCCATGGTGTCCTGTCTTTCTCCAAGGGACCCTCCGTCGTTTTGGACCGTGTCTTCCGTGATGACACGGTCAAACCCCCGAAAGGTCTGAAACGCACAGCGAGTTTTCTGGGGTGAAGAGTCTGAGAGCAAGCACCGAGACAAACGGACAAATCGAGAAAAGCACCGAGCAGTTGAAGTGGATGGCGGCAGGGGATCACTTCTGTAACAGCACGGCAGGGTGACAGGCGCAAGACTTCTGGCGCAAGACAGGGCGACAGCGGGCGACAGCCCTGATTCTGCTTTCGTAAGGCCCAAAAGAGGTTTCGACACTACAGAAAGGCCCAAAAGTATTACAAATCACCTTACTTAGGTTGCTAGGCTCCTTGGGTCCAGGCTTTGCTCAGCTATTTTTGTCCAAGGTGGTTCCATTTTTTCGGCTCCCGCCTTCCCCAACGGACCTTGCTTGTCACGACGGCAGGTAGATACGAGTAGAGTCCGGATGAACGCCCAGCGGCGAAAGTGGGAAAGACCCAAGTGTTGGGCTGCATTCATCAAGGCGCTTTCCAAGCTCCAGGTATTCTCCTTAGGCTGGGCCAAAGGGCCAACTTGGGTGTGTTCCTAAGCGAATGCATTCGGGGAGTACCCAAACAAGGGAGAAACGGCCCTTTACATGGCAATTCGATATATATATATATATATAGAGAGCTTATCATCGATGAACACCCTGATTTTATCCTCTCAGGCCTCAAAGTTTGAGCATGTGATTTGGCTTGATGTATGTTTCATTATGTTTCTACATCATTGGGCTACCTGCATCCTTGTGGTAGCTGGCGCGGTTTCGGCAAACCAACCGTTCCAGCTTAAGGAACCCTCGAAAAGCGAGAGGAGAGAGAGAGGAACCAAAAACCATCAAGAAAACATCTTAAAATGTCTTGAGTCAAAGGTCGTCACTGACAGTCCTCAACATCCAAAAGACCCTCCACGCTTCGCTCATCCATGCCCGGATGAAGTCCAGTTCGACTCATCATTATGCGCCAGCAGTTAAAGTTAAAACATGTCAAACATTCAGTTCACCTTTTCGGCTGACCAAAATCCAGTTCGACTCCTTTTCCAACTCGTTGTCTTGGACATGTCGGACATGCAAAGAACAGGGGTGAGCTTTGGTTAGTTAAGCTTGCTCTTCATTTCGCCTCACCGTGGACTCGGCCCACGTGGCGTTTTCGATGGTGCCGAGAGTCGAACTTCTTTTCTGAAAAGTTCTCCGTCCATGAGTTCACCATGAGATGTAGGAGTTGCTCTCCAGTGATCCTCGAGCAAGTCTTACTAAGTGCTCCAACATTGGCTGTGACAAGGGAATGGCTGATACAGTACATGTCTGAACCTACAAAAGGTCGTCTATGACTCAGCTGACTTGATTGCATGTGGTTGGATAGGAAAAAAAGGACCCCAGCATCGACCTGCCTAACAGTTACCACTATATAAGGAACCAGGGGCTTTCGTTCGGTCTTCGGTTATAGTACGTGCCATTGTAAAAAGGTAAACATGCCCGTCCCATTGTTTGTGTCTGGGTGGTAACATCCAGTCACAGGATCCACACCGGAAAGCCGGTTTGATCCGTCGATTTGAAAGCGAAAGAAGAGACCGAGCTCCGATCGACCCAATGGTCTATTTCCCCGAACCTGAGAGGTCTATTTAAAAATACACCCATACCCAAACACTCCATGTACGGAACATGTGCCTACATTGACCCCTCAAACCACGCCAATGTAGGTAAATAGGCGTTACATGGAGCGTCTGGGATATGATTTTGGTGTTTCTTCCAACACGTGCGGCTGTCATTGCATCAGCTCGGTGCTAACCTGCTTCCTACAGTTCCTACAATTAAGGTTCAATTGGGGCCATAGCATTGCTCCAAAAGAGATTCCCTATCGTTCCACAGAGTCCTCATCTCTACTTTCAGGTCGGTAAATGGGCAAACTTCTGCCAGTGGAAGACACTTTCCATGTAACCTCATATATTTGTCATGTTCCCCGTTGTTCCCCCTTCAACATTGGCTTGAGAATTTGCAGCACCCATTAACGCAGTGATACGTTTTCCTGCCATTTTGGCCTCAGCAGGTTGCCTCAATAAACTGAGACTGCCTTGTGCACTGGATGTCTGTGACATTGTTAAGTTTCCCTAAACACCTAGAAACCAAATCATTATATAGTTCGAGCGCTTCTTCAAGGAAGCTTCCCTCGGGGAGCTTCCTTGAGAAGCGTGAGCTATCCTGCGTCCAAGCTACTAGCTACTTAAGCCACTAGCAACCTCTTCTACTAGCTACCTAGCTACCTTGGCCTACCCCCCAACAAAAGGAACACAAAAAATGTGAATGCAAGCGCAATGGTATCTGTCGGGCAGTGTTTTCCGCAAGGGCTTGTTCTAAAAGGTTCCCTGCCGTTCTGCACATGCATGACATGCGAGAACACGCATGAAAGCACACATATATGAGGTCCACCACGTGGGGGTGCCACCAAATCTGCCCACTAAAGGTGCACACAGTGCTGTGCCTGCGAGGAAATGCCATGAAATCTGCACAAGCCATGCGAATCCGTGCGTCTGTTTCCAGATGAAAGCTTCGTTTGCGCAAGGTACAGTACCTCAATAAAAACGCAATTTCCGCTGAAGCGTAACCACGGCACCCAAATGTGAAAAGAACCCGAAATGGAACAGCGCGGTCAACGACAGGTTGCGAGCGTGGACCGAAACATGCTGAACGGCCAAACGCGAAGCCTGATTCTGGAAACTCTGCCTGATTGGCAGTCGCAGTAAGAATCCCTTGGTTGCGAGGAACCTGTCAGAGGAATCAAGAACTACACCACAAAAATCAACCATATAATTAGCAAGTCTATAGACGCTGCATTTTGCTTGCACCAGGTTGACTTTACATGATTCTAACCGATGCCTTGCACGAACAAACTCTCTTCGGCAAGCTTCTTGGGAAACTCGGAAGGCCAATCGCCAGGGGCCTTCTCTGTCAACAAGAAGTGGCGCACCATGGGGTGGTACATCAAATTCCCCAAGCCCGACTCGGAGAATTTTCCCCCGCGCCTCAGATGCGGAGTCGTTATATAGTCGTGCGTTTGCCGCGAGACTTTGACTGAAGCATTCCTACAAAACGACTGGGACTCATGGCTTTTTGATCGACAACATCAACAGGGGATCTTTAAATACCCTCAAAATGAAGTCAGAATCGACAACGATGTATGCTTTCAATGTAAAACCATGTGTGTTGACCAAGGCTATCTATGGCAGCATACAAAGTGTTAACACATAATCAGTCTTCCGCATGGATTTCGCGAGGAGTTTGGTCTCACCGTGGGTGTATTACCTGTTGCCTAAATACATGAGGTCCCATATGCTCGGATCAGCCATGCGAGAAAGGGAGAAAAAAGGGGGCACAAGACGAGCCGACGATTGGGGAAAACCATTGAAAAAGTTCCAAGACGCTGCTTTATCCCTATTCTTGGCCCCTTTTGGGGCACCTGAAACTTTCCTCTGGAGTCACAAGGACACCCGCCAGAGAGTGTTAAAAGTGTGCGTGGCTGCCTCTCGGAAGCTCAGCAGCTCTAAATGTTTGAAGTCGGTGCCTTTGAGAATGGCCGTCTCCAAATCATGGAAGGTCACCTGAGACCGTCCAAGAAATGTTGGATACCAAAACTCTTTGAACGAACAAAACTCCACTAATTCATTGATCCGAAGACTTGGTGGGGCTTTTAAGAAAGACTTGGTGGTGACACCCGGATAGGGATCCTGGAGAGTTGAATGGAACTAACTGTGGCTTTCAGTGGTGGTTGCCTCTTGAGCACCTTTTCGGACCCTTTCTCAGAATCTGCTTTGATGTGATACATGCATCTCAAGGGGTGCAAGTAACTTTTAAGTATAGATACTCTACTGGAAAGCACTCGGGACAAAGTGATTTCTGAAAAATACAGTACACTCCCTGCCATCAACCCTGCGCTTGATGTCCCTTTGGTCGGCCCCGTGTTCCTAGTAGCATCTTTGTTCCTAGTAGTAAGGCCAGGAGCCCCGTTCGTAGCGTCCGATCGCTCCGTTCGTAGCGATGCCCTTTGCTCCGTTCGTAGCTTTCCAAAGTGACATGTCGATTTAGTCTGGTTGCAGTGCAGTCCTGCCAGGTCTGAATAGGTCTTTCATTGGATTCATGAATGCAAGCCACACACTTCACCGACCCCCGAGCCGCTTTCCGTGGAAAATCAAGGAGAATCCTTTCCACCTGCTGGATTTGAGTGGGGTGTCCTCAATCCCCCCAAAACGGCTAAAGGTTATTTATCCACTTTTCCTGGGTAGGTACAAAGACGAAACTGCAAAGCTCTCCAAAGCTCTAGACACTTATGAGAAAGCCACCCAACGTGGCAACCCAAGTGGATCGAGCTACCAGTATAGTCGGTAACCAGTGGTTCCAAAGACTGAAGAAGGACAAAAAAGGTAGACCTACATAGACCAGTAGTTCCATAGGGGTGCCTATTGGAGGATAGGGGTGCCCAGCACATCCACTCACTTAGTGACTAATTAAATAAACTCCACCCCTTGGTGGCTCCTGGTAGAAACCCTGGTTCGTTACAGTGGTAACTGCAAGTCACTGGGGACTACCAACAACCCCCCCCATGAAGTCATGAAGTGCGAAGCCACAATCGGTTGAAGTGCGAAGGCCACCCAAATGGTGGTGTCGACAAAGAACCTCCGGATCACAAAAAGGGGTAGACTCCGAAGACTCAAACACGCCATAAATTCGGACTCCTGTACCCAGTGGACACGTCTCTAGCCAGTGGACATGTTTGTCCTGAAATAACATGTGAATGCAACATCTTCTGATCTGGAAAAGGCATTCTCTACGTTTGCTTTCATTCTTACGCCTCGTTCTCTGACAGGGGTGTCCCACTAGGATGACTTGATGACCTGATTTGGTGGAGAAGTAGCAAAATAGGGTTTTAGGCACCCCTTCTTGCCATCGCTTATAAGCACAAGCAACAGCACAAACAGTTAGTGCATTTTGACAGAGAAATGAGAAAGCAAACGAACACATGGCACAAACCACAACACTCGCATTGCCGCTTTTCCGAACAAACACTGCAGAACACATGCAAACACCATGCACCATACAACTCTAGGCCGACCTCATTTGCCGGCCCTTTGGCGATCCAATCCGATCCATGAACTCGGAGGTCCCTGAGGTCCCCAAAAAACACAACAACAACAACAACGCTTGGAGATCTCGGAGCACTTAGATATCTAAGCACATAAACATGGCTGGAGATCTCGGAGCTTGCGGTCACTGACCCCAGAAAGCTCGAAGTCAAAAAATCAGAGTGAAGATCTCAGGTCACGTTGAACATGTCTTCTCCCGGGTCCACTGGTTAGTCAAGTGGTCGCACTTCCGGTCGACCCATTCGGTGATGTCACTGTTGAAACAGTATGAAAGATCTGTTTAATCTAGTTGTCAAACAATGGCAGTACTAGCTCTTATTATATAACACAATTCTATGCATATTCTATGCCCATCTATCTGAAAAGAATTACTTGGCCTCTTTTTGTCTTCCCTTTTTATTGCACATAGTTGGCCACACAAGGTGCAGCACGTCAGACAGTGCAGAACAACCTTGAGAGGATATATTGAAGAGTCAATTTAACATACAATAAATGCCTTGCAGAGGTGTCGTGATATCGGCTACGCGCTGCGCTTGATTGTTCTCTCAGATCAATTTTAACCTACAACCCAGGCATGACCCTTGTCTTGATTGAAGCATTTGACGTTTGATTAGTAATATCCGAAATAGAGGTCACTCAGGTTCTATTTCGCAAAGCCCTTCAAGTCCTTCAGCACCCGGTTCCAAGTGATGAGGTTTTCTGTCGGACCAACCGGGACAGTGGAACGATATGTATGCCGTAGTGGTTAGAGAAGATCTAAGATAGGCTGCCTCGTTTTGAAAGACAAATAGCATCAAATCGGGAGATCGAATGCCGGTCACAAACCTGTGCTTTTAAACAAGAACAAACCACATTCGTCCATTGCACATGTGGATTCAATGTGATCCACTTCGCAGAAGCGGTTCTCTACCCAGCTCTGGAGGATTCCCGAGCGTCCTGGTCACGTCCGGTTCGAGACTTAGGCATAGCAGCTGCGCGCGCATCTGGTGCATGAAGATTTCGCCGATCTCCTGGCAATGAGCAACCTCTGCCAAGAAAGGCCCGCAAAAAGAAGGTGGAGACGGGATTCGGCTGGCGTTCTTGACATTTCTTTACTACATAGCTAAGTCAGTGACGTGGGATGGGGTGGAGGGAACTCATGTAACCCAAACACTCCATGTATGGCATATTCACATAATTCTATATTGGCTTCAGAGGTGAGTCTAGGTCTATAGGTAAATATGCTATGTATACATTGGAGTGTCTGCATGGGTAAGTTGCTCCACGGCACTTCCACTCGACTTCGGCAGCGATCACTTCCCGACATCGATCACGAACGGAGCCGATGGATGAAACGATGGTCGAACGGGTCGCAGATCTCTCCTTGTCCTTCAGGAGTTTTTGCTGTGGCACTTTGCGATTGGAGCAAACCATGTCCAACTCAGCTCTCACAGCACTGGAAGATAAATATCCGTCCTCCACAGGGAACACACCAAAAAAAGCAGCACCGGCGAGAAGCGAGCATGTGATCGGTTGGCTTCAATCTGCAGTATGGCAGAAACAATCCAGAAAACGACGTTATACGGGTGTGGTTTTTATATACGCGTTTTTGTTGTTTGTTGTCTTTATGCGCCTTTTTTTTTAGATGTTAGGTTTTTTTGTTCTTTGGAGCATAGACCTGAAGAGCCATTGGGTGAGAGCAGTGGAGATGAGCAGGATTGGTCCAAACGAACTTGTGGGGGGATAGGATGTGAACTCCCAATGCTCGCAGAATGGTTCCCCATGACCCTGAGAATGAGGATGAGGTTTATTATGGGTATGGGCATCAAGAAGGCCATGCAAAATCCAATTCCAATCAGTCATCCAGTACTACTAAGCAAGTTTCTCAACTTTTGTTGGGCCTGGTGGACACATGGTGTTTCAAGATAGTGATCTTCTCCCCATTTCATAAAGAATGTGGGGGGAGAAGCCCAAAAAGTGCAACCTTTCATACAATGAGAATGCTTATGGGCAAGGAAGGGTAGAGTCGGATCCAGAGGTTGTTTGAACAACATAAAAGTTGGTTTGTTTGGGAAACAGGAGCACAAGAACATATCTAGACCGCAACCGTGGAAACTCTTTCAAAACATGACAAAATCTGATAAACAAACAACAAAAACGCGTAAAAACCACACCCGCATAACTTCGAGCTCTCAAACAATAACGTTCAAAATAAACCTGTTGGTTGAGGGCGCCTTCCCACTTTGAATGCAACAATGTGGTAAGCGAAACCTGGTCAACAAACATTTAAAGCAGCTGTGGGTGAAACATGGTGAAACCAGCAGAAAGAATGGCCCCAAACCGAAAGAATCTCTAACCCAATCTTTTCTCTATATAATGGAGTTGTGAGTTTTCTTTCACCTTCTCTAATGTCTTCCAGTTCGTTCGTTTCAGGTTCCCGGGAACCCCCGTTTCCTGGCTGATATGGTGCTGGAAAGCCTTCATCAGCTCCGTTTTCGCGTCGCTGTGCAACGCATGGGTGCGAGATTTGGATTTGGCCTTCTTCTGTGCATATCCATAGACCTCAGGATGGTAGACACACGTCGAGTTTTGACAACACAAGAAACCAAAAGACTTCTCCAATCCTTGCAAAGGGCGAAAAACCTCCAACACGAATCCCTCCGAATTGGGTGGACTCCTCGGAATAGAACTCATGGACCCCGTATTGGTTTGGTCCGACTTTTTCCTGCAATACCAACGACTTTTCACAAAGCCTTAGGGCGGGCCCATTTTCCAAAAGTGGTAAATAACGCCCCTATCTCAATTAGCTTTACTTCCACACTCACCTCTTTGATCTCCTAGGCAACCAGGTTGACTAGAGGCCAAGACCTCGGGCGAATTCCATAGTTCTATTTTAAAAGAAACATCGATGACACCATCTGTCAAACATAATGTTTCATTTGGTTATATATATATATATATATAGCAAGAAATCCTGATCACAAGGGTGAACCCGGCGACCACACGGATACACAAGCCCTCAAAAGAAGAGGTCTTAAATACAGATTCTATCATATTCTCATGCTCAATACCCTGGGCCACCGACCTGTCACCCAGCTCATTGACCTTGTGCACTAACCTTGCACCAACCTGCAGGATGACCAAAAACTTGGAAAGCATCGGATTGAAACACCTATCAGGAACCCTGTCTGGTCATGTCCGGTCCATCAGTCACCCTGCTCAGTCAGCGCCACGTTGGGCACCCCCTGAGCACGTGTGTGTGGATAACCACATCGGAGACTGATAACCACACTCTGGGGATGGCTAGATGTAGATCTCTATTAGATTAAACCATCTCTGTGCAGACATGTCCCAGAAAGCAGAGCGGCAAAAAGAAATCAACCAAACAACTGAACCTTCAGTGAGAAACACCAAGCGAGAATTGAACGAAGCACACTATAATCTTTTGACTCTTGAGTGTATTTCAACATATTCCCACAGGGCTGAAGAGATTGTACAATCCATGCCTGTTTCCTTTATGTATTTAAAGAGGTTGTACAATCCATGTTTGTTTTCTTTTTTTGTTAACCGTTCGAGCATCGAACACCTCTGATGCTTCTGCCTGATGAACTTGCGGTGAAAGATATTCCTGGGGTATTTCGATATGAGGAATGGCGGAGGAGAGAGGTTCTCTTGCGAGCTGCACGGATTACCACCTTTGTGAACTTGGAATGGTTCCGCAATGAGCTTGTGGCGACCAGAGTTGTGTGGGGACGTTTTCCGATGATTAAGATGTATGGCTGTGACGGACGATTGGACAGTAGTGAGCTTTTTCTGCCTGCTGGTTTCAATGCCATAGATCTGCATCTTATTTATGAGATTCGTTTCATTCTGGATTCTTAATATGAACACACTGAACATGTGCGAATCGTTCCAGTGCGCCCCAATCCCACTCCCTACCAGCAAGGGGGAGATGAAGCTTTATGCATTCTGACCTCTCGTGCTAGGGACTGGCATCTCCGGCCAGTTTTGGTGGTGGCGACTGGAATCAGGACCTCTATTGATCCAGTGCTGAAAGGGCTGCTGCTACCTGAAAGAACTACTACTTCAAGTTTGCTTAGACAATTGGGCCTTTTTGGTTTCTGCTACGCAGCGACCTTTCGCTGTGTATTGTCCTATGATCAACAGGAACTCCCAAGACTGGTTCCATGGAGGACTATTGCTGGTATGCGGCGGTATGCGCATTGATCTACAAGTGGTCCAAGATGTTTGTCATTTTGAGAGTGCGCGGCAAGTGTTTGCTGATGATTTCCTGGCTGATCAGGGCTTTCTTCTGCAGACAGGCCTTGCTCTTTCCGAAGGACGCTTCGCTGGCACTGCTGATGAGGAGGCTTCATTTTGCAATTCCTGGCTGAGTCCTTTTTATCCTGTTTGGTATGGACGGGTCTATAATCGACGGCCCGTGCAGGTTTTTTTGGAGATGCTTGGATCTTCAGCTTTCCCTGAAGTTGACGGCGCCTTGAGCTCTGCTCCTATCTTGGAGATGATGGCATCTGACTTTGCCGCTTGTGACCAAAAGGCTGAGTTTGAGTGCATGATCGCTTTCTTTTTGAACCTATATATGCGAGGACTGCCACCGCCAGGCAACCCGGAGGACAAAGTTTTTTGGTTCACTAAGAATCTTGATTCTATGGACCAGTTGATCCCCTGTTCTGACTATTCGTTGGTGGTTGACTTCCCTCGATACAAAGTTTTGCTTTCCGATCTGCTCGATGTGCCCTCGGTTTCGTCTGAGAAGAGCGATGAGAAGGCACCTGTGAGAAATGCACATGTTTTCCCCCTCCCGGATTTCCGGTCGTTGATTTCTTCGCTCTTCGCTGCAAAGATGCATATAGCAATTGATTGGAATTTTGTCTCTGAACGGCTTGCACCAGAACTACGTGATGCCTTGGCGGATTTGATTTTGGACGAGCCTGAATCTGTCTGTTCTGTATCCATCTACACTGATGGCTCATTTGCGGCGACCCAGGATGAGAAGAAATCAGGATGGTCTTTTTTGGCCATCGCAACCTCAGAACAAGAGGATTTTGTCCTAGGATATGACTGGGGGGTTGTGGAAACAGACCCTCTCGCCGAGGGCTGGACTACAACAAACAAAGCTGACTCCAAAGCTGCGGAGGCCACTGCTATTTTCAGAGCTCTGGAATGGGCTTTCTGGCGTGATATTAGGGCCCCGCATGCCGCATGTCTTCCTTTTTGACTCGCAGATGGCCGGGTTTTCGAGTTCGGGAGTCTGAGTTGCGCCGTGGGATCGGCAGCATAGGGCCCTGCGAGCAATGGCCAAAGCATTCGAAGCTTATCACCGGTCACACGGTGATGTTTCCTGGCAGCATGTTAGGGCCCATCAGGGGACTCTGGGGAACGAGATTGTGGATATTTTTGCCAAACGGGCTTTTTGGGATCAATCCTATCTCCATTCGTGGCAGTGCCCCGACTATTCTCCTTTTGTGTTTGGAAAAAGGATGCCACTGGAATATCTCTGGCTGGTTTGGGATGCTGTTACTGGTTTTCCGGCTGATGCGGATGAAGATCGACAGGTCCTGTTGTTGAGAGACCATCTGCCGCACATGCATTATGCATGAAGATCTCGCTGAAAAGTTACCACAGGAACTTTTGAAGCCACCTGCCACAACTTCTGTGATGAAGCAACTGAAGATCTTTGCGGCGACATATAACGTTGCGACATTGGGGAAGGGCTCTGGCGGATTTGTCCATTACCTTCGGCAACAGGCTGAGATGCACGGTCTGGACTTACTCTTTCTGCAGGAGACTCGTTCCAGGAAGTCCCAAATGGTGCTTTCCAAATCGCATATTCAGATAACATCCGAGGCCATCAATGGTGTTGGAGGGTTAGAGCTTTGGTTGGCTAGATCCCATCCACACAAGCAGCAATATGATCTTTGGGCAAGAACATGTCCGAGTTCTTCTTGCTACCTCTCAGATGTTATTTGTCAAAGCCACTTACCAAATGATTGATCTTCTCTGTGTCAATCTGCATGCCCCACACTCGGGTAGACCGGATCATGAGATTGTTGCATACTGGAAAGAAGTCGAGGCTGCTCTCTCCCGGTTCTCCCAGCAATATCCCAATATCATCATCGGGGCAGATGCTAACTCGCATTTCTCCGCTGAATGTGAGGGATGTATTGGTGATGCGGGTCTTGAGACCAAAGAGAATCTGGGAGGATGCCTTTTCCGTGCTTTGTTGATTCGTTTTAGTCTTTTTCTCCCATCGACATTTGCGGATGTGCACACTGGGACACATTCCACATGGTTTCATAGCGCGCATTCCACAGTGTCGCGCTGTGACTACTTTGCACTGCCACAAATTTGGAGACAGGCTAAATTGTCGACTTGGGTTTTTGACACTCTCGACATCGTCAAAGACGGCATTGACCATGGACCTCTGGCGCTTACTATTACTTTCTGTTTTGCTTTTCAGGTGAAGGTTCGCTCTGAGAAGAATGTCCTTGCAAAGGGCCACCCCGGAACAGTTAAACGAAGCGTTGCGACAAGTTCAGATACCTGATTGGCAATGTGATGTTGACCGGCACGCCATGTGTCTCTCACAGCAGATCCGCAAGGGCCTCTGTGCAGTCTTCCCGGCCACGTCCAAAGGACCCAAGAAGAGTTATATTTCTTCAGAGGCCTGGGACATTCGTAAGACAAGGATTTTTTGCCGAAAGTTTACTCGAGGATTATACCTCAGGGCCCACAAACTGACTCTCTGGGGTGTTTGGGGCCACCTTGCTGCAAAGGGACGATACAGTCGTACAAAGGTGTTGGTGCAAGGTTTGATAGTGGCTTTCCGACTTCTGTATACTCGGAAACTTTCCGCAGCTCTGACCAAAAGCCTTGGGAAATGCCTGCGAAGGGACCGAGCTGCTGCTTTGAACGAGCTTGCCAAGCAGATTTCGAGCATGACCGCTCGGGAATTTGCTACCGCCTTGAAAGCCGTCGGAGTAGTGAATCCAAAAAAGCCGTCAGGGGTTAAGCCTTTGCCTCGACTGACCAAGCTGTTGCAACCCTTTGGAGGGAGTACTTTGGTGCCCAAGAAGATGGAGTCACTACCACCTTTGAACGACTCTTCAATAGCCGCAAACATTGCATCGAGAAGGCACTGGTGAGCCCAAGCTGGGACGAGGTCCCCTCGATGTACCAAGTCGAAACACAATTCCGGAAGACGGCGCTTGGAAAAGCCTATTTTGCAGACAATGTGCCAGGTGACCTCCTCACGAGAGCCCCTGTGCGCATGGCGGAGCTTTTTTATTGGCTGCAGGAGCCCCTTTTATATAAAGGGGGGTTTCCTTGTAGCAGCCCACAAGAAGGGCAATCCATGCGTTATTTCAAATTATCACTCCTTGTTCGTGAGCAGCGTTATTGCAAAGGCTCTTCACTCAATCTACAGATGGGACCTTGCTCTCTTTTGCTACGCATCGATTGGGGCTCCAAGTGGGGGGCCTGCCTGGCCAAGGCATTGTTCAACCTGTTCATGCATTACATCTTTATCAGCGAGAATCTATTGCCGGTGGAAAGTCCTATGCTATCCTTTTTGTTGACATCAGCAATGCGTTTTACAAAGTGGTCCGACAACATGTGGTGACCCCGGCTGACGATGCTAGAGGAGCACGAGAGCTTTTCGTAAGCCTCGGTCTGCCACAGCAGGCTTTCTGTGAGTTCCAAGAACTGCTCCGACAGCCGGATGCGTTGGAAGAGGCTCAAAGCTCTCCTCCGAGAGTTCTTCACAGCAACCTGGTTCATGATCCGTGGAGACCAGGCTGTGACTCATACCCGCAAGGGTAGTAGACCAGGGGACGCTTTTGCTGATTTGGTATTTAGCTTTGCATTGACCAAGTTTGTGCAGCGGGCTTTTGAGCAGTTGCAGGTGGAGTTCAATGACTTGGGGATTTGGTGGAATGGCGAAAAGACCATTTACCCTCAAGGGGATTCATGCATTGACCTTGGTCCATTGACTCCAACTTGGGCTGACGACCTTGCTTTTGCGGTGAACGGTTCAGACCCTGAGCACTTGGTTCACAAAATTACCAGAGTTACCTCCATTCTTTTTGAACACCTTCTTGCAGCTGGGCTCACTCCGAATCTCAAGAAAGGGAAGAGTGAGATTCTGATCGACTTGAGAGGACAGGGGTCCCTGGCTGTTAAAAGAAGACTTCTCCTTCAAGACAATTTGCTCCAGGTTGAGTCACGTTTTGGTACTTTTGAGCTGTACTTGGTTGGCTCATACAGACACCTTGGAACGTGGCTGCAAGTGGGAGCAGGCATTCAAAAAGACATCAGCTGTAAGTTTGCCCTGGCTCACGATGTCCTCACGCGCTATAAATCCCAGCTGTTCTGCAACAGAGGACTTGACTTCCCTCAGAAGAAGCAGTACTTTGTCAGCCTTGTCCTCAGCACAGTCATGTACAGTACAACTCTGCTGTCTGGCGCGCAAGGACTGGCAAGCAACAAAAGCTGCTTGAAGGTGCACTTTTTCGGCTGTACAGGCGCTTCGCGGCTGTGCACCATGGGAACAAGGTTTTCAAGTGGAACATGCTTCGACTGCTGGAGGAGGTTCAGCTGCCGCAACCGGCGGCCTTGTTGACACTTGGAAGACTACGATATCTTGGTCAACTTCTGGGGTCAGCGCAACCACATACATGGGCCCTTCTCCAAAATAGTTCTCACGCGAGCACAGCTGGTTTGACTTCTACTGCCCTGAATTGGGTCTTTTGCTCCATTTTCGGCAGTCTTGGGCGAGTTTTTCAGACTTGGTGCAAGAGCGTCCAGCCCGTTGGAAGAGATGGATCAGGAGGGCCCAGAATCGACACATCTCGGATTTGGCTATTCGGAGTTCATGGGCGAAATGGCATCGACGGGTTATGGATATTTTGACTGAGGCGGACCTTGGGTTTTCTCGCCCAGTCCAAACCTCTGGCAATGATCATTTTTGCATCTGTTGTGCCAAATTCTTTCGTCGACGGGCTGATCTTGCTGTACATGCCTTCAAGGTTCATGACAGGATTCGTGCAGTGAGGAACTATGTTCTTGGGACTGCCTGCGAGGCATGCTTGAAAGTATACTCACATCACACTGATCTTTGAACCATGTTGAAAGGATGCCAGCGTGTTTTGGATTTTACAAGGCACGGGGCCTCGTTGTACAAAGAGAGCCTGGTGTCAACAGCAGGAAGGCCAATCAGATGCGTAAAACTCTACGGGATCCTTTTAGCATCAGGACCTGTTTGCCCAGCGCCACAGGAGCAGAGTGACCTAGTGACCTATGTCCGCAGGTTGAACAACAGCTCTGTGAAGACTGGGCCTCATGCCTGACTCTGGGGCTTCCTCTACCCAGAGGAACTGGTCGACTGCTTCCGACGGTTCCACAGAGTAACTGCAGATGAGTCCTTGGCACTTGATGCGTTCCAGGTATTGGCTCTTTTCTTGCGCAATGCCAGTGGTGAATGGCTTTTGGGAGATGGTGACATTCCACGCATTGAGTCTGATGAGGTTGAATCTCTCTTTGCTCGTGAGGCTTGTAGATTGGAAACACTGAACATCTCATTGCCAGCCAGAGTTGCGTATACTCCCCGCATTTTTGCGCACCTTTTTGCGGGAAATCGAAGAGCTGATGATTTTCAACATTTCGTTGAATTCCTTGGAGCACGTGCCATATCAGTCGACATCATTTACGACATTCGATGGGGTGATCTACTACGTGCTGAGACGAGCTTTTTTCCCGGGCGCTACGGGAAGGGGCGTTGAGAGGAGTGTTGGCGGGTCCGCCCTGCGAGTCGAGACCTGGAGTCGTGCACGCTTTGTTGACTCTGAAACTACGGGGGTGCCCCCCCACTCCGTAGCAGAACACAAGCATGGGGACTGCCATTCATTTCCAAAAAAGAATGAGCACACATCATGACAGGGAACCTTTTGTTTGGAGTGGCTCTACGCCTATTCCTTGTCTCTATCCAGTCAGGATCCACTGCAATTATAGAGCACCCCGCAGAACCCACAGATCGACCTGACATGCCGTTGATCTGGCGCCTTGACATTGCGCAACTTTTCCTTCGATTCTCTTGCTGTCAACGGCTGAGAATACAGCAGGGGTGCTTCGGGGCCCCCTCTGCGAAACCGACCAATTTTTTGGTCACACATGCGCCCCTAGCGGCACAACAGTTGCGCACAGGCAAGACCACTGAGGTACCAACTGGAAGCAGTATCGGAAAGAACACCGAAGGTGTTTGGAATACTAGCAGGTTGAAACAGTACCCAGGAGCTTTGTGCCATGTCTTGGCTAGGATTTTCCTGACCGCCCAACCAGATGAGGGTACCTCTGCGATCCCTGAATCGTTTACTTGTGCGGTTCAGGCTATGGTTGATCGTTGTGATGTCGAGGCCGAAATGGGGCCCGACTATAATGTGAATGCTTTGAATGCTGCCAATTGGTAATTCATCCCATCTGTCGCAAGCGAGACGCTTTTGGCGAGAGTGAAAGAAAGACATTTTTGTTAACCAAGAGTCAGCATTACCCGTTCCCCGGATCATCAGGCACCTGGTCAGCACCGAACAGCTGAAATTCGGCTGGATTCCCAGGGTTGCGGCGCTTTGTCGGGAGTGAAGTTTCCCAACATTCAACGGCTTGCGGCTGCGGAAGGAGGTTGACCCAAACCCGGTTCCCGCTTGTGTTCTCGCCGCGTGGCGGTGCTCAGAAGCGACTCCTGTAGGAGAGCCAAATCACAGAGTTCCTGGCACTTGTCTTCATCTGCCTCCTGACACCAGGAGTCAAGCAACAAACAGTATTTATTCTACGTGTTATATGATTATTTATTGTTTCTTTGGTGGGGTGCAATTTCGTTTGCATTATCGTCTTTAATGATTCAGCCTGCGTCTAGTGCGTTTTGAAGTCTGATCTTCATGTCCAGGACTCAAGTGTAGTATATACTTTTCAATCTCTTTAATGTACTGTGTATACTCGTTCAGAGGTACGAATATATGAATATGTATATAATACACATCTCCTTTTGTAGCACCACTCACCACAGGTTCTTTGGGGGATCCCATTTTGAGAAACACTCATGTGTTTCTGTCAACCCTCGAATGGCCGCTGCAACTAGCTGAGTCGATCCAGTCACGACTTACACCGGCCATCATCCCCAATGTTGACTGTTGATATCTGTACATTGTAACTTCCCCAAATTATTGGAGATGTAAAACATCGAAAAACCCTGATATGTTTTACATATCATAGTTTCATTCATCAACATTGGAGATGTAAAACATTGGCTTTATCTGTACATTATAACCGACCAAATCATTGTTTCATTCGTCAACAGTCTAGATAGGCTTTATCACCTTTCACCATCCTTCCTCAATTGCTTCCTTCTCCCAACTGCCTGGTTTCCGCACCTTCCCGCTCCGCGGCTGCTGGTGATTCGGTCGCTCCTCCTGGGGAAACTGGGTCTGGAAGCGTTGCTCCACCGCGAGCGCTCGATTAATCCACTTCCTGACGGCGCTGGGTGGGTGCGACCCACCGAGGCAAGCCAGGAGCCCCTAGTAGCGAACATTGCTCCTAGTAGCGTCCTTGCTCCTAGTAGTATGGCACTTGTTACTACAAGCGATGCACTTGTTCCTAGTAGCGATGCCAGGAGCCCCTAGTAGCGTCTGGGCTGTGTAGATCTGGCTTTACCGGTGTTCATCTGATCTGTAGTTGTGACAGGGTTCGTCTCATGTTTGCCTCGCAGACATGGGCGTTTTTGTTGGGATGTAGTAATGTATGTAAATGTAGTATAAGTCTGTAGCCAATCGGCTCCACCAACAACTTTGAATGTCGTGCTATCCACACCTCCAACCTCGCAGGTTCAAAGTCGATACGCGGCTCGCCTGCGCGGCTCGTTTTCGAATGCTGGAGATCCTTGAAACCCTTTACACATCGGCCTCGAGCTACGTCACGCTGCACCTCATGTCCCACGAACGGCAGTGGTGCGACGCACCCATCAGTGGGTCGATGACTCTTGCTGAAAGAATCATGGGTTCCATCCACGAAACCATGTTTGTTGGAAGGAGGGTAGAGGTCGAAAATGCCCCGTCTCCTGGCTGCTTTGTTTTAAAGTGTTTTTCAACCAAGGCGCCAATGCTGAAGAGGGGTCTCCGGCTTGGACACTGCTTGGAAGATCTTGGGCAAGGGGATCCTCAGATCGAGCCCGTTGGTTTGAAGCGCTGAAAGCCTCGGGGAAGCTGATGGCCCCTTTTGGGATCCATCGAAGTGTTAACACATGTTTAAGACTGGTAAAGCAAAACAGGATCCGAAGTTGACCCCAAAACCACTTGTTGACCACCCAACAACTCTGCTGGACGGTGATGAGGATGGTGATTTGATCGGCCGATTTGGTGGTGATTTCGCTGGGTCACTGGATCATTCCCATAGCATCCAAGACATATCGTTGTGATCTACTGCTGTCGAGCATGATCCCGAAGCATTTCTGCTTAATAAGCGGATGACAGAATAAAGCAAGGTGACAGTTAAATACCTCTCAGAAAGCGTGAGAACCCCCACAAATTCCTTGTGTTTATTGAATGGAGGCGCACTTCGACTGAACTAAGAGCTATCAGCTATCACAAACTGCACAGCAACATGAGCTGTACAGGGTCGTTTCAGGGTCATCTCATGGTCACATCATTATAAAAACCGGGACCTTGGTTGACCACCCCAAATGAACAAAAAAAACTACCAAGATTATGGTCGTCAAACTTGCATGGTGGTGAGGTTTTGAGCAACTGTCATATCCGAAGTCCAGTTCGACTATATTTGGCCCCACCGAAGTAAAGCACATTCACAAACCTCGTCCGGACTCCCAGGGATCTCATGGCCCGCCCCCAAATCTCCGAATCGCGGCCAGTCCCGTCGAGGTCACCGAAAGGACGAAAGGATCGGATCGTTCCTTGTGCCTTCAACTGCTCAGCTCAACGTTAGAGACCCAGAAAAAAGACATGAAACAACCACTTGAAGGAACAAAACACACATGAGAACACTTCTGTGAGGTGAGTCGTCTCGCTTTTCAGGTCTGAGAGAACCCCCTCAGCTCGCATCTCGCTGCATGATCTCGCCCTAATTAGAGTTTTTTGTTCTTGTATAAAGGGAGTGTCCTGAGGGTCCTGGTGAAACCATTTTTCTATTCAAATTCTGGCCCATACTGGATCTGGGATGATCTGGGACAATATTTCAGGAATGCTGGTGACCTACGAGGAAGCCATTCTACGTTGTCCGCACGATCCTCGCCCCGTTCTGTCGGATTGCTGGAAATAGGTCAGCGGCGGCGTACAGGCCAGTGAGACCTGCAGCGGTTATTTTTGGACCTTGGGAATTGAAGCCTGATGGGTTTCTTGCTATCTTGCTATCTTTGGAATGATGTCTAACAGTTAAACAATCGCAATCTGCTCATGCCACGCTATGTTGTTCTGATCTGCTGCTAATCTGCTGACCTCCCTTTCCACCCCAAAGCCCCTTCCATCGCCCAGCCGTGTTTTCACACGCTTCTCGCCTCGCGGTCCGGTTCCAGCTCCTGGTCGCCCGCGCGGAAGAGGTCGGGGCGCCGGCGAATGGAGGCGCGGAGGAGATGCTCCAGGGGCTCCAGCTCGCGCCTCGCGCCTGGCGCGCCTCGGTGACGCGCGGTGACGCGCGGTGACCGTCTTCCGAAATGGGAAACAGCGCAGGATCGCGATCCGAACACTTCCGGATCCTGCATTGATCCATCGCTGGGTCTGAAAGACCTTTAAGATTATTCATCTGATTTGACCCCGCTGACCCTCAGTTAGGTTCACCTTTTAACATCTTTTTCTACCGGTTGAGTTTTCGAAACAAAATGACCTGCAGGTTATCCACGTACTTCCTGGGTCCCAGGGCAAGAAAACAGGATATCTGATCGTATCACGTCTCGCTCTTGGCTCCAAATCTCAAGCAATTGCTCTGAAGGTGCGATCGATTTCTCAGAATAACTCCTGGTTGATGGTTTCAACTCTCTTAGAATAACATCAGTAGGTTCAATCATCCCAAGCAAAAACGCCAGCTATAGACTCTGTTTGGCTGTTTAAGAGGTCACTTGTTTGTTTGTTTGTTTTTTTAAATGAGGACCATCTTCATGTGGCAAGTGCGTTCAACCTTAAGGAGGGCCGTCCATGAAGGTTTCGTCCGCGAATCCAGGATTGGAGGCCCATGTCCATGTTCCCCAACAGCATGAGAACTCTGGCAGCTTTGAGCCCTTGGGCTCCCAGGTCCATCCATGTCCATAGTGCGCATCCCAATTAAGCGTGAAGAATGCTAGGTATCAGGTATATAGATCAATTCAGATCATTTCAGAAATCATTCAGGGCCGGAAAAAGAACTCACATCTGAACTACATAAACATCATTCAGGAGACGAGATCTTCATATATCACCCGCTGATTCAACGATCAAAAAGGGCCTGATGATCTGACCTTTTCGCAAAATCTCCCAAATGTTCAGAGTTTGTTTTTGCACCGAGAACGACATGTGACAAAGCAGAAGAAAAGGATCACCTACAATCGCGAATCCAAGTCTGACTCAACCCCTTGAAAAGGCCCTGAACAAAGCCGAAGCGGCGTTGAATAACAGGAGGCTCCTCCTCTCGATCCCCTGCCCAAAAAGACATCGACAATGCTGTCGGCAGTGACCACTCCGATTCATGAGGAAATGGAAATCCACCTGCTTGTTATAAGGGACACAGCGCCCTGTGTTTTCATCTATTTTCCCCTTCCATGTGGGTGAGTCCGAGAGTACGTCACGTTTACGCATTGACCAACACTCACATCTCAGCCCAAAACGATCAGCAGCAGCCTACAGCACAAAACCCACCTGGTTTCAACCATGAAATATATTGTAATGCCATGTCTTGCATGGGTGTATGTATAAATGACTAAGTTCCTAATGTCCATTCTGAGGCTCCAGCAGATCCGACATCCCTAGCAAGGTGTTGAGGAACTCCCGCCCATTGTCGCTCCGAATGGTTCCCTGACTCGGGAATATAAACAACCGGCTGACCCTGGCTCCAGCTAGTTCTAAGATGATGTCTGCGATCTCCCAGCCTTCATGACCTTCTTCGTCTGAATCCAAACACCCTCTCTTCGCACAATCCTCGTAGGCTTGCAGTCTTTGGTCTTGGATTCCAAGGCCCAATGTCTGTGCCATGTGAAGCAAGTCTCCTTAGCTTCAAAATGTCAGTGCCAATTCCGCTGAACCGAATCAAAGTGGCAGTGGGTCAAAACCTGACCCTACATGGAACGTTGACTTCCTTTGTACGTAAAGGGATCTGTTCAGTTCATTTTCGGTGGTTAACCAGGGTTTCCCTGTTTTAACCCACTGCCAAATGCAAAGATGCCAACCCTCGGTGAGTCCAAGAAAGTCTTGTTCAGTCTTGACTTTGGTTGTTAGGCCATCGCACTGAACTAAACCCCTTTTCAGAGCCTGGACTCCTTGTCCTGGGTGTAAGGCAAACACTTGCGGTGGATCAGCTCGCAAGCTTTGGAAAGGACAAATGAACTGACAGCTGGAGTGACTCTTAGAGGCTCCTTGTTTGGGCGCCTTTCTTGGACTCCATGGGTCAAATTCTTCGCTTGAAGGGGGCCGCGAGGTGTTGAGCCTGGTTGTCGACCCGCTTGACCTCGCTCGACCCACTCAACACCCAGGGGCCGAAGCGGAGTGGCCGCCCGGCCAATCGAAGCAGGGCGCACAGGGCCTCTTCTTCGAAGGTGGCGGGCGCGGTATCGGCTTTGACCAGGCTCGTTGGTAGCCGGAGATATCTTGGACCTGCACTTGGGCCAAAGCCAAGGGAAATCACAGGCAAGCGCCGCACCACCCGTTGATCTGTGAAAGGCAGGGGTGCGAACCGGACTCGATTGGTCGTGGATAGGAATTAGATGTTACTAGTAGTTACTAATTGCTGTGTGCTGAAGGCCAAGGTTGTACGCCTTTCTCACATACCTGGAAATTTCAGGGAGAGCACCATGTCTGCCCCTTGTTTTGCTTGTGGTGCGGTTTGCGGTCAGAGGAATGCCAGGGATAGGGCAGCCGTTTTCGACGAATCCTCTGGCAAGTGGTCCGGTACATATGCTGGAACTTCCGAGGTCCAACTTGGATGTGTCTTAAATGAATATATATATATATATGTATATATGTATATGTATATGTATTGTATGTATGTATGTATGTTTTGATTTTTCTTGAGTACCATCAGCGTTAAGCCAAAGAACCATTATGCCGCCCGCCCTAGCCCTTCCAAGTTTCTTGTAGTTTTTGCCGCCTACCGCCTACCCAAACCTGGGCACCCTGCACAAGTTCACAGTGTTCACCTAGCTGAAGCCGCTCCAAAACACATTCAATGCTTGGGTAGGGATGGACACATTCGGCCATGGGCCATCGAAAACAACGCCCATCCTGCGACTCCTGCGGCCCTTTCGAGGCCTTTGAGGGAACACTCACCAGCATCCCTTCGCAAGTTCAAGGGCCTCGGACAAGCCGTGCAGTTGCATACTTGGTGCTGACTGGACATCCGGCCGCCTGATGACCTTTGTTGCCCAAAAAGCAAACACTATACTTTACTATTGGCAGGAATGCTTCTTATTGAAGACCTTGCATCTTGCACTTTATGATTCCAAAGCTACGTACTAAGACAAAATTGCTTTTGGTACAAAGAACCTCGAGTTTCCACGCAAACAAGCCACTCATCCCTTTGATAAAAGCCCTGCGCCATCTCCGCCATGGGCATTCCAAGCCGATATGGCGACCAAGCAGGGAAGGCAACAAATGCATTGGCGACGAACTCTTGTTGAAGCTGTCTGAACTGCAAAACTGGAGTCTCAACCTATAGACTCTAGACCCTTCCAGTTCCATCACATGAATACCGAATACAAGTAAAGATATGATGTACGGTAACGGTGGAGTGTGGCAGTCAAGGCTTTGGTTAAGGGTTAGTTAAGGGCTGGTCATGGGCTGTTAAGGGCTAGAATGGGCTAAGTCGCAGTGCTTTTCTTCGTGGATGTGTTCCTTTTCTTCGACCACCGAGAGACAAGGCGTCAGCGTCTTGAGCCGTCGAGGAGTTGTTCGGGTGAAGCGAAGGCTGCTTCGGCTGCCTTCGTCGATTCCTCGGACTCCGGCCATTCTGGCTTTGCACACCTTCAACGGTGGGTCCACAGTGCACATGCTTGTCATTCTGTGTCATATTGTTTTTGTAATTGTGGCGAGCTGATTTTAAGGTACTTTAGAATGTCCAAGCCTTAAAAAGCATCGAGGGACTCGTTTTGAGAGAGGGACCACCTAGACCACTCAGGCTTCCCACTCCAAAAGCTATCCTGTGACGCACTGGTAAATTCGAAGACTGAACATGACTGCGCCCACACCAAAATTCTTGTGCTGTTGTCGTGACACCCTTCGACCCCCCCCTCGTCATCCCCAAAACCTCCCGTTTCTCTTTGCGCTTGGCGGCACTTGGCACTCACCCAGCACTTTCTTATTTGGAACACATCCCGGCCGAGTCGGGTCTAAGTGGGGATTCAAACGAACCTGAGTGAGTGACCTCTATTTTGGATCACCAACCACTCATTATGGTCAGACTTCCGATCAACACAGGGGTCATGACTGGCTGCGGGTGATCAGCACTTCCACCCGGAGCATGATTGAACTGATTGTCCGGCGTTCTCAAGCGTTCTCCAAGCGATAAGGGATAGAATCAGACTTTCCTCAGAATTGGAGCCCATGAAACCTCAAACAACACATCGCTGGGGAGGATCGGTCGTCACGCCGCTCCCAGCTCCGATTTTCCACGACGACCAGCCACGGATCTCAATGACACCAACCTCTCATTGCCGGCTAGCCGCTAACACTTAAGCAAGTCGAGGGACAGGTGTATTTGGGTTGCAGCTTGTAGCTAAGTTAAGGGTTTGCCCAGTCAAGGTGGAACATAACTGCATGTTTATCGACCAAAACTGGCTGTTTCTTTTTTTGGACCAGAGCTTGTAAGGCCGATGACCAGATCGGCAGAGATCCAACACATGCCAATACCATCAAGAACCAAGTCGAATGAAGCTTCCCATGGAATGGAATCTCATCCACAAGGGCTGGTCGGAAAAACGTTTCTTCCATTGCGTGGCAAGGCGATCCTGAGGTTGAAACAGCCTCAGCAAATCTGACGCAGAAATCCCTGGAGACTCCGAGTATCCATGTTGTGTTCATGATTTTCTCTTCGGTTTTGGACTCCTTCTGACCCACCAAGAGATTCTTGGGGACCCCCAAAATAACCGCCCTTAGCGGGAGTTTGTCAGGTCTCGACTCTCGACATGTCTAGACTCTGGGGTCTCATGGCCAATCGGATTGTCCAGGTCGCAGTCGAAGACTATCGCCATTGAAATCTAAATCAAAACATCTTCCGTGGCCGCCTGCTTGGGCGGCCAAATGTGTCAAATGATGTTGAAAGGTCAGAATTTCTTTTCATGTTCAGGCACTTCGAAGTGCTTTGGAATGCTTTTGGGACAATAATTTAACCCAACTGAAATTCTGGAGCCATGATCATTGGGCATTTCAGTCTGCTTTTCAATGGTGTCGCCCAATAGTTTTGCCAAAGAAAATTGAACTCATTGAGCACTCATCACCATAGCGGTTAGAATCAAAACTGACTAAGAAAATGGACAGCAATTCAAGAGGCTCGGTGACTTGAGCACAAGAAGTACTCGATGGTCACCAAAAGAACATCACAGGATTTGGATCCAAGATGATTCCTTCGCATCAAAGAGCTCCACTAAAACATTGATTCTGAGAGGATCCCAACATATTCCCCAAGTCTGGAGTCAAAAGCGCTATTGGACTCACTGAGTTTCCGTTTAGAGGGGAAACATGGGGAAACACGAATCCCCCAAAACGAGGGTTGTGCAGGTGACTCACTGAACCTCAGACACTTATATAAGGTGTTATAAAAATAAATAAGGTTAAAGTTAATACATAATCTTATACTATACGTACCTTAATGGGGTTCTGTCGTGACCCGGGTCACCCGCTTCGACTCTCCCCACACTCCACCCGCTCTGAGATGGCGAGAGTTGTTGCCTTCACCCGGTGCAAAACGAAGCCAACGAAGCCCCGAAATCACAGCCCAAGCCACCTGGGTTTCCCCAGTCCCAAGCAGAAACAAGATGTTTCCCGAGTCCCAGGCACTGAAACTATGTCAATTGCACCAGCCATGCTGGAGAACATGAGAGTTCAGTGCACCTGGGGAGGTGTACCAGATGCTCATCGTGAAACCCCTAAAACCATGAGAATACCATGATGTAGCTGCTGTAGATTCTCTTTGACATGTCGAAACACGAAAGACTCACAGGTTCCAAAAACAGCAAACTGGTCGCAACGGATCTCCAAACAGGTCGGACTTGTTCTTTGTACAACCCTATATCAGGCAGCACCAAAGTATGTAGACTCCATTAGGCTCATTAGACTCCCCTGATCCCCATTTCTTCGCAGGCGGACACGTTGGAATGCGCTTAGCACTGCTCACTCCGCGATCGATGCTCACTCACCTGGGCGTCGGTGGGCGGTTTGGTCCTGGTCCGTGGAGTGTTCCGCCGGTTGACGACCGGACTCCCAAGTCCTTCCGAAAGGCAAGACCCAAACTTTCCACCTGGCTTTTGGTGTTGCGCAATCTAATCCCCCCAAAAGCTTTTGCAGGTGAAGTTCTATATAGTAATTATACCGTTTTATATCATATTATACCCCACTATATAGCCCTCTTCCTGCGTTAGTGAACAAAAGGGCTGTTGTGTTACTGCGATGGGGGGAGTTGGGCAACTCGGATTGAATAACATACGTCGTCGCTTCCCGCAGCCGGTGTTGAAGCTCTCACCCAGATGCCGGCTGTTCCGGGCTGTTCAGGTGACAAGACATCAACTCAGTGGTTCTCGAAATGGATCACTTATCATCACTTTTGACCTTTTTTGCTCTAGTTTGGGACCGTGTGATGGAATGCATGGTCCCAATCTTCCGTACAAACTGAGACTCCTTGTCGACCACCCGGTCATTCAACGTAAGCCTCCCTCTCCCCGCGGTCCTTCCGGGCTCCTAACTGGGCTTGGTCCCGGTGGTAAGCTTCAGCTCGGCGATGCGCTTGCCGGCATCGTACTTCTTGATCTGCGGCGTGCTTGGCTGTGGCTCTGGTGCAGCCAGAGGGGTTGGAGGGGACGGACGCAAAAGTTCGGGCGGAAGCACTTCATCCAACGTCCGCACCCGAATGGTCATGCCCTTTTGGACACCTCTCTTGAGGCCAGTCTAGTGCTTTTAGTGCTTGTCTGTTCCTTTCACTGTGGCATTTTTTGGTTGGCATTTAATCATTTGGGCCTTTCATGGGACCTCTTCTCTTGGGGATCTTCTGGGATCCAACGTCTTACACGGCATGGAGTGCATGGAGCGCCGATGGTGAGGATCCGGACGCTGCACTTCTTTTGGGACCAAAACTCTGTGTTGCATTGGGCACGGTGAGCGCACATGAAGATCTGCGGGGTATCTTTCGGTCTTTTTGTTGCTATAGATGTTGGGAGGTTGGACCACAAGGAAGAGGTGTCCGGTGTCCAGCAAGGATCTGTCTTTTCGTCCAGTCTGCCCTGCCCTTTTGACAGGTCCTTGCTGGACACTGCAGCCTGTCAGCGAGAGACTACAAAGACATCTAGAGACGCTGTCTGCCGGAGGCATTTTCACATCCCGTTTCGTTGCAACCATGGTGTTTTGAAAGGAACACTTTGCCTTGGCCCTGTAGCCGCTCCCCAAAGCTTACAGGATACGACTATATAATATATATACTTCCACTTCTACCACAAAAAAACAAGACCATGACCAGGACATGTCCCTTCATGTGAAGACAATTACGTTCAGTGGAGCTTTTTCTTTTCAATGTTCTACACATTTCTATATGTCAGATCTTGTCTGCTCCACCTACTGCCACGTGCACTGGATCTCGCCGGAAATCTCCGCCTCGGTCCAGATCCCTGGACCGAAGAAGCGGTCGCAGGCCACGATCTTCCTCGGTGGAGCGTTCGGAAGAATCATTCATGCGCAGAATGGAGCGGTGGTTCTCTCCAGTTCCAGAAAGGAATTCCAGCCACGGCTTCGGATAGCCTGATCTCAATACTTAAAAGCACATCAAGCATATCACAAAGCTATGGCTTGCAAGAGGGTTGGGGGCTGAATATTTTGGACATTGGATTGTGCCAAGTGAAACAGGGAAAGAATGGACTATTGGGGGGAACTGGTCGCTCGCTCCTCATCGCCAGTTGCCTCCTCCGAATAGCTAGCTGTTGATCGCGGAACACCTCAGTGACCTTTGACTCAGTTGACTCATGTATCATGGGTCCGAGGATGTCCCATGGGTGGGGACTTAGGCGAACATGGAGGATCGGCTGGAGTGGTGGACAGGCCTCAGCCCAAAACACCTCTTAGTGGCCTAAGCCGAGCCGAACCCATCATGTGGGTACAACGAACAGAACTGCTGTGACATGCTGTGATCTGCTTCCATGTCAGTGTCGAAAACTGATTCAAGACACAGCTGTTCAAACGATCTGTTTTGACCCAAATGTGAGGTTTTGTAGGATGATCAAAGTTGTCAAAAAACACCGGTTCTTCCGGGATCTTCTGGGTACTTTGGGGGATGACTGGATTTTGTTGGTGCTGCTCTGGTGGAAAAAAACAGAAAAACAACTAGGCCAGAATTTATATTGCACTTCACTG